TCAAACCGCGAAGCGTCAGCCATTTCTGGCCGGCAACTTTCAGTGTCATTAAGCCGCTGCGCCACCGTGTCCCCCACTAACAGGTTAGTACTGTTTTTATACTGACACTGTTTTATTGTTATTGATATTTGATAATTTTGAATATGTAATTTTAATGCTGCTGTCAAGTGTTTACAGATGGAGGACAGAAAGGCACATGAATAGGTACACTTTCAGAAGATCCCATGTGTCCAGTTTGGAATTAAGTGCCACAGAGTCCAATCACTGGGGTTATTTCTGGACATATAGAGAAAGGTTTGCAGTCTTATTTTTGTATTATTGTATTTTTATTAGCAGGATGACTCATTTATGGGATCTTTACCTTCCAGTGCCAAACAAAATGTATTGGCTAGCTGTAGCGTGGGTGGAGGTCTTGTTTTGTCTTCCACTGCAGACAGCCAAATGTTTGTTGTTGTTTTTTTGCCAACCCTGAAATAATTTGCTACTTGAAGGAAAACTACCTATCAGCTGGGTGAATTTATTTCCCTTGGTTTGATGGCAGTCACCCAAGAAGGCTGAAAGAACTAGGTGCACAGCTATCAGGCTTTTATCATCAAGAGATTATTTAGTATTCATACATAATGACATCCATGTGTGAACAGGGGATTATGTGAGAGTCGTTGCCTTCAAAATGACAGGCACAACCAGGAAATCAAAGCCCCACCCCCTTTTTAATATGGGTCGCACAAATTGCATGCAGATGAAAAAAGGATGTAGTTTGCTCACCTGATTGCACCCACCATTTTGAAGCCAGTGACTATTGTTGTGGGACCCCTGCATTTGAGCCTATAATTATCAATTTTAATGACTGTTAGCATGGCTTGATCTGTCACTTGTTTTGTGAAAACCTGTTGTGGCATTTCCCTGCTAGATGGATGAAACCAATTCCAAAGAGTGCTGGCCTACATGGCTACTGTCTTTCCTTGTCAATGCCTCTTGCTGGCTGCTGAACTGGATTTGGCTCATACTGTGTTTCCGTTTTTGTAGCTTGTTGGAGTCTGGCTTTATGATTAAGATTAGAATCTGACAAATAGCAAAATACAAAAATATCATACGAACCTCTTGTATTTAAATGGCAGCAGTAATATTATTGTTCCATTTATACTGAATGTTTGTTAGCTGCCTTGGTACTGTTGCAAGGGGTAGGCAGGTTGATGTTCATGCACCTCCTCCTATTTGCCTTGGCAGCCCAAATGAGCTCATAACATAATGTATTAATTGATGGAGATCCCTAATTTCTTCCTTCTCTTGAAACTTCTACTCAAGAGACTTATACTTTGTTTATTATAACAGTTCCTTCTGTTTTACTCTCCCTTTTGAGAAGCAAAAGCTGGACCCAAAGCTCTTTCACCAGGTTGAGAGTTAAAAGAAAAGGCTGCCCTGAACAAATATTTCCAGTTACAGTCGGTGGATCATGATGGCATTTTTGTTCTTCAAAATTGAACTTTAATATTTTTTTAAATATATAATAATAACAGAGGGAGTGCAAATGTATTAAATTCCTAGGTAAGCTGGAAAAGATAAGTTAGTGAGGCAAAGAATATGATTTAGATTGAGAAAAAATGAGGGGGGGGTTGTTGAACAATTTACTGTTTAACAATTTGACTCACCCAAGGCTCTGTCAGTTGCAAAGGAAAACATACAGGTACAATTTTGGTGGGATGGACCTCTTCTTCCATATTGCTACAAAATCCACCCCACCACCACCATCATTAAAACAGCATTTTGGAGAAGAAACTCCAGCATGATGTGTTGCTTAGCTCAGTGCATTCAGAGGCTCTGTTGAATGTTAGCTGTGGATATATTTCAGATCGTATGTCTGTTAGTGATTCAACCACATCATTCACTTTGTTTTAAAATATTATATTTCCTGTTTTCAAGCACTAATCTTATTTGGCCATTGGAACTGTCAAAACATTTTATTTCAATCCGATAAGAATGTACTGTTACATGTTATATGGAAAACTGAGATTCATCCAGATAAATTATATTGTTGAAATTAGCTAACAATCAAGACTGGGTGATGCAAACATTTTAAGAGACCCCGGTGTACTTGAAATGCTTTTTGAAGTTTATACAAAAGCTAAGGAGTCAAATAAAGATGTCCTTTTAGGGTGACAATTTTTAGAAGAAATGGTAATAATGGGAGACTTTAACTACCTGGACATATGTTGGAAAACCATTTCAGGCAAGAGTCCAAGGTTCCCAAAATTCTTCTGTGGTCTTTCTGACTGTTTCATTTTCCAGAAAGTTGAAGAAGAGACAAGAGAACTGGTAACCCTGATGAATAGGAAAGAGCTGCTGAAGTAAGGAACAGCTGTTGAAGAGGCAAAACCAGTGAGAACTTTGGAAGGAAGTGTTGACATAATCTTGGAGTTCAAGATATTACAGAAAGAAATTGGAGCATGATCATATATGTACACTATATTTCACAATAGCTAATTTCAACAAGCTGAGAGATATACTAAGCGTGATCACATTGACAGAAATCCTTAAGTCCAAGGAAGTACAGGAGGGTTAGTATTGGAAATACGATAACACACCATTCCAATGAGGAAAAAAAATGGGGCAGCTTAGGAAACTGTTGTGGGTGCATAGGTACTTTTGACCAAGCTAAATGCTGAAGGTAAAATATATAGGAAACAGAAAATGGGCTTTAAGTTCCAAGAAGTATCAGCAAGTAGTTAATATCTGCAGAAAAAATTAAGAAAGGCTAAAATGCAAAAGGAACTTCAGCTCCCAAGGGAAGCTAAGAGCAGTAAAAAGAGCCTTTTTGACTATTCTATGATCTTTCCTAGCAATAAACCTCCTCAATCTGAAAAAAAAAAAAAAAGAGGCCTGATTCAAGAAAATAGAAATATGGATGACAGGCACATTGTTAGAGGACTGGAGTATGGCAAATGTTGATATCTTCAGAAAGGGAAAAAGGAAGAACTGAGGAACTACAGATCAGTCACCCTGATGTTGATACTGGGAAAATTCTGGAATAGATTATTAAGCAGTTTGTGAGCATTTAGGAAAGAATGCAATGCTTAGAAGGCTAGTGGAGGCTTATCAGGAATTAATAATGCCCAACAATCTGATATTTGTTGATAAAGTGACCACTTAGTTGATCATAGGAATGTGCTGCACACAATGTACCTTGACTTCAGCAAAACATTCAACAAAGTCTCCCATGAAATATTAATAGAGAAGATGGCAAAATGATGGCTAGACTCTGTTGCCATTAGTAGATTGAATGTTGGTTGAACAACTGTACTAAACAACAGTACATCAGTGGCTCCATGTCAATTTAAAAAGTAATGTCAAGTGGTGAACTGTAGGATTCCATTCAGATCAAAGTATTTATAAATGGCATGGATGAGAGGTTACAAAATGATACAAATATAGAAGGGATATCTTATGAGAAAATACCAAGAGTCACAAGAACGTTGACAGGCACAAACAATGGAGAGAAACCAGCAAAATGAATTTCGGCAAGGATAAATGCAAATCTAAGGCATAAGGATGGAGGGACTATACTGGACAGCAGTATGACAAAAAGAATCTGAGTGTCTTGGTGGATCCCAAGTTGAACATGAATCAACAATGTGATGCAAAAATTGTCAGTACAATGCTTGACTGCATCAACCGAAGTAGCATCAAGATCAAGAGAAGTTATTGTTCCTCTCTATTCTCTGTCAAGTCACGTGGCATCTAGAATATTGCATCCAATTCTGGTCACTGCATTTCAGAAAGGAAATGGGCAAACCAAAGCACGTCTAGAGGAGAGCAACAGAGATGATTGGGGGCCTGGAAGTGTCTAGTGAGGAACAGTTGGGGGCATGGATATGTTCAGCCTGCAGAGAAGAAAATAAAGGGTTGTAATGGGGGGCGGGAGGGGCGGGCAGGGGGCAGGATTATTCAGAATCGCTTCAAAGACCAAAAAAGAAACAATGGGTTTAAATGGCAAGGCTGGACAACAGGAAGAATCTTCTAACGTTCAACAATGAAATGTGACTGCCTCAGTAGATGTTGGGGTTCCTTTACTGGAGGTCTTTGAACAGAGACCGCATGACCGTCAGTGGGGGTGCTTTAGTGGTAGATTCCTGAATTGGGAGGGGATTGGACTAGATGATCTCCAAGATCTCTCCCAAGCCTTATATTCTCTGATTCCATGAAGTATTTTGCTACTTTAGATATGCTTCATGAGCACTGAAGTAAACAAATAACATAATACTGTATGCACAAATAAACAAAAGCTTATGAAACTCTAAGACAAGATAAACAGGAATTACTTTCCTATTTCCCAACATGTCACTAAAAATATAAAGGTCACAGTGTAATAGATTGAAATGTGGCATGCCAATTCTTTTCTTAGAAATAGTTGACAGAACAATCACTTGCTGTGTATTGTGACCTCTGAGGTTCTTTCTGACTTTTATTTTATGAAATAACTTTGCCTTTCTGTGAGGCCAACAGGCCCTCCCCCACTGCATTTATAGGTGATGAATATATGTAGAATCAGTTCATATATATCGTTCTAGATCTTACTTGATAACTTTTGTTGTAGGACAAATGACGGTAAATCAGAAATAATACTAAACTATCAGTCCTGGCATTCAGTCCTTTATGGCTAGCTCTTAGCTAGCTCTCTGCAAACATCTGCTCTCACAGGATGGGTCCATGGGCTGGGAGGGGAGCCACAATATACGCTGTCCTCTGGTCTTGCGCTTTGAGCGAAGACTGGGGAGAATCTGCCTTGTGTGATCTAGATCCCTATTTGCTTTTGTTGTAACAGATGGTATGCGTGCTGCTTATTCAATAGTTATCCCCAGTACTTTGCAAACAAAGAGCTTTGAGTCCACTTGTTCTGGTGTAACGTGAATGGGATGACACCATGCAAGTGAAAAGGCAACAAAACCTGTGTGCACTAACAGGCAGCGGCTGGTGCTGCAGTAAAAGGCTGAGGTTGGCAGTGGAGGCTGCAAGTGGGTCGGCTCTTACCTGACCACCTGCAAAAATGACAGGGGTGGAGGCAGGCTTTGGGCGATAGGGGATGGTGGCACCTTTCGGTGGGGACTAGGAAAAGGGACAAGGAAAGGGAGAGAGAACATTAGACCACATTTCCTGAAACAGTAGCAAAAAGAGAGTTAGAGGGCAACCAAACATGTACAGATCAAACCATACTGATAATGATAATACTGGTAATGTTAGCTCTGCGAGGCTTTGTTACTAGTCCAGAAAGTAAGGAAAGAAACATGTAGAGGAGAATTCTACTTTGGGACCACTGAAGAGGACGGCTGGTCCTGGTTTTGGCCAGGCAGCTTACTTGCCTTGGGACTGCTGGGCCCAAGTTAAAGGCTCTCCCTTCCATCCGTGACCTGCTCAAGAGAGCAGCAGAGGGACTGTGGGGTGGGAAGGAATATATATAACTAAATTGGCTATTAGGCACTGCAAGCCTCCACACTGGATCCTCTGACAGCTCTGTCTCCCTGGAGCATTATTTTACTCCAAGTCTTCACAGAATTAGTTTCTCATGTAGCCACCCAAAGCTGTTTTGAGCCCCTGATTGGTTGAATGCTTGAGTAGGCAAGGACAAATAACAATCCGTTCTTGCTTGTTGGCATGTCCAGTCATTTACATATGTTCCTTTATACGTTACCCCTATTGTTACAGACTGTACCTCCAGCATCACCACACAGATCTGTTTGACACACTGGATAATTGCATCAGGGGTCCCTGAGATGGTCACTGCCCTTTCCGTAGAGTTGGGCAGCATATCTCCTGCCACCTGAACCTGAGCACCTGTGGACTGAAGGAAGGCCAGAAGAAAGAAAGGGAACAGCTTATTATTTCTGCACAGAAATAATACCTAAGGTATAATCAGTCTGTGCTCTCACTCTCTATATAAATGTGTGTGTGTGTGTGTGTAACACTTTGAAATTCCATTCTCTGGGAAATTAAAAAACTAAAATAAAGGGTAACAACAAATGGATAAACAGTTGTGTTGCAAATAAGTTAAACTAGGAACAGTGTATCAGTAAAATCAAAAAATAAAACCTAGTGATCAACTTTGGCATTAAAAAGATATGGATGTAGGCATCCAGTGAGCCTCTCTCAGGATGGCATTCTACAGGCACGGTGCAACAACCCCACAGTCCCTCCTTTCAGTGATCTAGGTGTGGAGATAGCTTAATGAAAGCCTTGGATAATGAATTGAGAGGGCAGGATATGATCCTCCCCCAGTACCCTTTAGAGATTAAACCATCCAGGCCTTTGAACTGAGCCTAGAAATGGACTGACACCCAGGGCAGATTTCAATGTGATCAGATTAGCCACTCCCAGATTACTGTCAACTGTTCAGTTTTGGATCAGTTTTAGTTTCCAGACAATTTGCACCATATAATCCAAACAGGAGATTATAAATGGTAGAATAACTATTGCAGTATACGTTTGTCCAGGTTTTAGTTGTACATTATCTGAAATCATCAAAAATCACTCTGCCTAACCTGGGCTCGCCATATCGTTAGGCAGAGTGAGGCAGCTGCCTCATGCAGCCATGGCAGACAGCTGACCGCCACTGCCCCTGCCCTCGGGAGCTGCATCCCCCCAGAGAGACAAATGGCCTAAATCCCCTGGGGTTCTGGAAAGCCCTTAAGACCTGGCTCTGTTCCCAGGTCTGGGATTAATGTGTTTGTGTTTACTATTATTATTATGGCAGTCTTTACTCTGGACTTTCTGCTTTGTTTCATGTTTTAAATTGTTTTAACTGCTTATTTAGATTTTGTAAGCCACCCAGATTTTACTGGAATGGGTGGCCACAACAAATTTAAATACATAAATAATAATAAATTACTAGTACCGTATATTTGCTTGTTCTTCAACAGATGTAAAACAGAAAGGAATAACTGGAGGGCAGTTATTCCCAGAGAACATCCAGCTATTTTACTTATTTATTTTAAGATATAAGTAATACATTTATAATTGGACTTCTGTCATCAATACTGACACCATTTCAACTTAGTAGAGATGAACTTAAATAGGTTGCAGCCAAACAAAATTTTCTGCTAGCCATCAGGAGATATGAAGGAGTTTCTCAGTGTGACTACTGCTTTACTTTATGATAACTGACTTCATGAAGATTTATGAATTTGAGAGGTTTAAAGACCAGTCTTTCTTTCATTTCTCATAGAAAAGAACTTTCTTTGCATATAAAGAAATCAGAGGCTTACCTCCCTTATTTCTTTAATCTTGGAGCCTCCTTTGCCAATTAATGATCCACACTGGCTCGCTGGTACAACCAACCTTAATGTAACTGGGGGCTTACTTGTAGCTGTGCTGTTACTCATTGAGTTGATTATATCCTTTGGGAGGGAGGGAGGGAAGAAATATTCTATGAAACAAGTTTGAATGCTACTTTATTACAAATGAGCCAAATATTTTTTATCACATTGTGGAACTGTGAAAGAGCAACTGGGAAAATAGAATTGGTTTTCTTCTGCATACGTTGTTAAAACAAGCAGATCTTCCACATTTAGGGAAATTTATATCTTATATTTTACAATAATTCTTCACCTGTAACATTACACATTTAGGACAATGTCAAAGGAACAGAATATCAGAAAACTAAAAGAAGGCTACTTCATGTTAACATCCTTTAAAGTTATTTTGCACTGTTAATCTACTGAAAAAAATGGCTGTATAATTCAAAAGAAATATTTTTCAATCTGCCACACCCTGATATGCCCATATCACTAGTACTCTGGTAATGGTATTTATTAGAACCCATATTTGATTCCAGAGAGATCCCAAACTAAATGATCATGAAGTGATGGGCCTAGTGCATATGTACCAATTGTTCCTACTCCTATAATATATATGTATTAAAAGCATTTTGAGGAGTTTTTCCCAAGGAAGGGTCAGTTGAAGATAAAGGCTGCCTGCCTCTTTCTCTTTAGCATCATTCTTCCATACAGTTTTTGAACATTTCTTCAAATGTTTCTTACCTCTTCAAATTTATAAGCAATCATTGCAAAAGCTTTGAAGATGGCATCAGTAGGGCCTGTAATGGTCACAATTCTTTCTGGACAATTTCCTTCTGAGATATTGATTCGTGCTCCACTCTACAATTGAGAGACCACATCTTGTCATACACATAGGGAATGCTGTAGATGTAGTATACTTAGACTTCAGTAAGACATTTGATAAAGTAGACCATAATCTCCTTCTTGATAAACTGGAAAATGTGGACTGGATGGATGGATTCACAGTTAAATGAATAACCATAGCCAATAGGTTATCCTTAATGGGTCTATGTCCACATGGAGAGAGGTATGCAGTGGGGCACCTCAAGGTTCTGTCCTGGGCCTGTACTGTTCAACATCTTCATAAATGACTTAGATGAGGGAATAGAAGGGATGCTCATAAAATTTGCAGATGTCACAAAGCTGGGGGGGGGGGAGGATTGGTAATACCCCTGAAGACAGGCTCAAGATTCAAAAGGATCTTGATAAACTTGAACATTGGGCCCTATCCAACAAATGTTCAATATTGAGAAATGTAAGATTCTGCACTTCGGCTGGAAAAGTCAGATGCACAGGTACAAGATAGGTGGTACCTGGTTAAGCAATAATACTTGCAAAAAAGATCTGGGGGTCTTGGTAGACCACAGATTAAGGGTGAGCCAGCAATGTGCCAATACAGTTTTCAGTAGAGCTATAGTGTCAAGATGATGGGAAGTGACAGTATTGTTCTATGCTTCACTGGTCAGACCACACCTGGAATACTGTGTCCAGTTCTGGTTGCCACAATACAGAAAGGATTCTGAGGAACTGGAAAGAGTTCAGAGAAGAGCAGTAAAGATGATGAGGGGCTTGGAATCTAAATCCTACAAAAGTCATTTATGTTTATCTTAAAGAAGAGAAGGCTAAGGGGAGACATGATAGCGGTCTTCTGATACGTGAAGGGATGTCACAGGAAAGAGGGAGAAGATTTATTTTCCCTAGCACCTGAGGGTGAGACAAGAACCAATGGGTGGAAGCTTTATAGCATGAGATCCAAACCTGAACTAAGGAGAAATTTCCTGACTTGAGAGCTGTTAAGCAATGGAACAGCCTGCTTCCTGAAGTTGTGGATGCTCTATCATTGGAGGTTTTCATGAAAAGACCGGACAGCCATTTATCCAGGATGGAATGAAGACTCCTGCACTGGGCAGGGGGTTCAACTAGAAGACCTTATGTATACAGCAGATTCTTTAAAAATACATGGATTTCATATTTTGTGTTGGTTATGTTTAATTATGATTTATCAATTATTTTTATATGGGAATTTTTAGAATGACTTAGGAAAAATCAGCCACCCAAAGATATGTTAACTATAATCTAGCATAAACCATACAAATTCTAACCCAAGCTGCAGCCAAACAACAATGTATAATGGCCCACAGTGTTTATCAGCCTTAAACAGAAGGTTACAACTTCTTTTGGCCTATGAAAAGAATCCGGTTCAGGCAATTAGAAATTCAGAACAACTTGTGCCCCCTTGACCTGCTTCCCAATATCTATGTAGGACAAATGATGGTTCAGGGTCCAGGTTTTCTCTAGTAGTTCAAAATGGTTATCTGTAGTTTTGTCACAGGGAAGCCAACCTTCCTTCAGTACTAAAGGATGTGGCTGCATGAAAAGAAGCACAGCTCAACAAACTTCAGCCTTCTCCTCTCTATTTTTATGTTACCTGTGAATTATTCCTTTTGGAATTATTATATTTATTCCCATATTACTTTGTGGAATTGTAATGATGCTCACCTCCTCACGCATCTTTTTTACTGTCTCTCCTTTCTGAAATAAGAAAAAGAACAAACCAATAAGAAACAGCATCACTCTTCATGCCACAGATAATACAAAGATTGCTATCCTTTGCACAGTATCTAGGTAATACTGAGAAGCGCTGCCCAGTCAATAAAGCTGTATTATGGAAGCAAGGGGGAAGATTGAGAAAATGGGCTGAATTTGAACATCTTGTAACTCATAATACTGAATGCACACAATTTATAATCTACTATGAAATAGGATTTAGAATCTGAACAACTCAAAAATTGTATGATTAAATGAATGTAAAATATATATACAGTAATAGAGATGGAACAGTGGGCATTTCAATGAAAAAAATATTAAGTTCACTTTGAACTTTATATTTAGAGAGAACTAGTGTAAGATATTTTATCACTCCAGCCATGATTGGTAAAATGAGTAGCTCCTTTTCCACAGAATGCTGGAAATGCAATGAACAGATTTGATCTTTTTTTCCATATGCAGTGGCAATGTTGCAAAGCTCAACTATATTGGAAATTCATTTATTGTAGAATGGAACAAATCTTGAAAGTCGTAATCCCATTTTAACTTAAAATATATTTATTAAACTTCACCAAACCACACAAAATACATAGAACTGGTATTGTACATGGCTGCAAAGAATTTATATGCTTTTT